CACATTTTGAAGAGACACCAAAACACCTTTTGGAAAATCATAAAAGTGGACTTGGATTGAAAGAAAGAGAGAGTCTCAATTAGCCCCCGACGCCTCTCTCATAGATTAATTATGATGCTTTTGGAGAGAAGAAATGGAGGAGTTGTAGTGTGTTAGTAGAGAATATTGTAAGAGAAAGGAATAACAGAGATTCAAAGGAACTTAGAGAGTTTAGTGGAGAGGAATTTGAGATAAATTTTTATCTTTGTGAGTACATTTGGTTTTAATTTAGACTTCATGTGTATTTACATGATTTCTATTTTTAAACTTAAGTGCGGTTGTATTTTCTTCATGAATTCTGAGTAGTTTTCTTTATCTTTTTCCTTAAAATGATGAGTAATTAAGTTTTGGATGGAAGTTGTGTGAAGGATTAATTTTAAATGTTGGAATAAGTTGTGATGATTTTACACATTGTATTTTATTTACTTCTTGATTTGATCAATTAAGATGTTAATATTTATTGTGAGAACATGTAAGATTCGAGATGGTATTGTCTTAGCCAACTAATGGTAAAAATCACATGAGATTGTATGGATGAGAATGTAATTCATAAGGTTAAGTGCAAATAAATAGGAAAATAATCTTTAAAGGATGTAGAGTTAGAGGACTTTAGAATGACAGGTTAAATCCCCCAATTTGATTTAGTGTTTTAGGTCTTGATACAAGATGTTAGCCTCGAGGTGGAGGGAGAAGAGGGAACTCTAGAGTGAGAGCTAGTATCTTCCTTACCTAGCTCTTCTTCAAGACTATTCAAACTTTAAATTAGCCAATGCAGTTTATATCTCTAGTAAGGGAAAATAATAATATTTCTCCTATTTGAAACAACACAATTTGAATACTTTCACAATAGAATTCCTATACACATTCTTGTTTCATGATAAGGAAAAAAATATTTTATTTATATTGCGTTCATCTTACAAAGATTTAGTTAAATTTAGTTGTTTACTTTATTTTTAATTATAAAAAATTACCAAAAAGAATTGAACTTTCATTCTTATTATAGCATCTATAGTTTAAGTAAGAATATTTTGCAAAGTAGAATTTGTTATATAATTTCTTATTACTTAGAAGATTAAAATTCTCCCCGTGGGTTTGATATTCGAGGCTTAATCAAAAAGTTCTATATTACTTGATAATGGTACATATATTTGCATATTATCTCAATATTGAAATATAATAGTTGTACTCTTATTTGCTTCAGAGTAAGTTTTTGGTGTCGTTGTAAAGTAAAAAATATAAATAAGGAAAATTGAGAATATAACCACACATACTTCGTAGTATTGTCATAAAAGATTGGGATCAGTGATTTGTTACTGGTTTTGATGCTTTATCGAGTGTTGCCCACGAGGATGTCATGATGGGCAATACCAACTATCACATCATGACTAGTACGTGTATATTGTGTTAAGGTTCCAAAGGGTCTAATAGGTGTCACTCGTGTTTTTCATCTTAGAACGGATTTAAAAATATATATAAAAATATATATTTTTACCCATATGCATCATATTTCAAAACCCTATTTTGAAATTATTTGCATCCTTAGCCTACATAAGGTTGACTTTTTAAAAGGGTTTTTAATACAAAACTTACATTTAGTGATACTTCTTAAAATCCTTGGATCCTTAGGATGGGGTCGGAGACGCCGACCCCATCAAAACATACAACAGTCGTTTACCCACACTTGTGCACACACTTGGATGTTATGACCATGACACTACACTATAGATGGTGTGCTAGGCTAGGACTAGGGTGCTTAGGTAGTTTTTTTTTATGTCTGGTTATTGTTCTCTGTTGGATTGTGACATAGCCAAGCATACTTTTTGTTTCTTGCTTTTACGTGTTTACTGAGTGCGAGACACTAGCATGTTAGGGGCAGTTTTCTTGCAGGAAGTCATGTCCAACAAGGAAGAGTAGTAATAAGTTAAACTAATGCATTTTCTACAGATATTTGCTTAGCGCTAATTCCACCGGGCACGGTTCATTACGTTGCATGCAAATAGCTTGTTGCTAAGCTGATTTTCATGTAGGTTGAGCCTTTTTTAGACTTTGTTATGTACTTTTTAGAGTCCATGGACTCGAGTTTGTATCAAAAATAAGGTATGTGTTTTCGTTCCTTTCACTTTTTATTTTAAAATGAGTTGTCAGTTTGTCCATCATTATATGCGTCCATTTTTCGAATAAGTCTTTCTTCTAAATCATCTGAATGATCAAAAAAATAGAGTAACCCAAAAAACAGAACATGCAACAAAGACGACGAATAAGATAAATAACGTGGAAAGTCTACATATAAAAAATCTTCCGACACACCTCTATTATCATAAATTTTCTAGCAAGCAACTATAATCATATTCGAGTAGTGTATCATTTTACTAATAATGATTTGGTCTTATTAAATAAATTAACAGTGCACTAAAAATATCTATTAGAAACTCCATTATTCATTTTTACATCGACATTTGTGTTCAGAATTCAGATATATCAGAAAGAAAAAATCATTAATATCAATTTAATAGGACCGAAGGCCGAAAAACATTTAGAAATTTTTATAGGTATGCCATTAAACGATCCCTGTCAACACTCATTTCCATTGTTAATCTCACATAATTAATCAACAAACAAGAAAGACGATTATCAGATTAATGGTAGTAGTAATAAGGGGCATTGACATGCATACCAGCAAATACCTATGTATTTACATATCTAACATCTAAACTAAACTTTTTCCATTAATGGCCCAAAACTCTCGTATCACATAAAAAATATCACTATTTTGACTTATAAAATGTGAAATACATCACTTCATACACAGTTATGGAGACGCACGTAAAAATTAAAATTTAGACGTTAGATATGTAAATGCATAGGAATTGAGTGATATGCATGTAAATCTTAATGATAATTTTTATTAGATTTAATTTGAGATAAGGGCAATATAAATTTCGATCACTTCATCATATACCACACTCATTTTCATACAAATCCATCAATTTAAACCCCATATTTTATTCAAAAGTTAAATTACATATTCTGATACACACACACTACATATGAAATCATACTACTTCCTCCTCTTATCTCATACTGATAAGTTGATATATCAAGGCAATACAGCTTACTTAAATGCTTCTAATCTCCTAAGAGAAGTTTCCTTACAATGACATCTGCCATTCCATCAGCCAGAGGGAACAAATGTCCTGCATGAGTCAGTTCATGATATTTAACCCAAGGAAGCTTTTGGCTAACATACCTAGACAGACTAACAGGCACAATGAAATCTTCAGTTCCATGCCACAGATGAACACTGCCTTCCTTGCCAGGAAATGGGTTTTCAATATCCATTGGATCGAACTCCCAGTCTCCGAAACCAACGATCATGTCACGAATCAGCGACTCGTATTCTCCCTGCTGCCTTATCTGTGCCTATCAACAATTACATTATTTGTTAGGAAGATTTACATACATACATACATACATATCACTAAGGGTCCGTTTGGGGCAGCTTATTTGGTGCGCTGGCGTTTTGAAAACGCACCTGACCTATTTGGGTAAACTGCGTTTTGGCAGCATGAGTTTTGAAAACGCTAAAAGCAGCGTTTTCACAGATAGGTGCGGTGGTAGTTTTCTAACAACGATCTGACTTTTCCAAAAAAATAAAAATTTGTAATAGCCACCGCACCTAGCTTATTAGCAGATTATTCAATAAGCTGCTGTTGCCCCTAATTTCATACGTGTTTACAAATCTGGCGCATAAACTTCAATCTTTACATACGTGTCATCTTATATATGCATAAGAAGGTGCGTTTCAAATTTTGAAAGTTAAAAAAGTGTTGCTTGTGATGTTGGATATATGAATAGATAAGAATTTGGTGATATATAAAAGCTGCAATTTGTTATAATCTATATTACTATTAGAAAATTTAATGAAGATATGAAGTTGATATTGAATATTAGTTTTGCTTTTTTTGTAGTTTTACTATTAAAACTAACAGAGTATTAACGAAAACATCATTTTCAGGATTATAAAGCTATAAAGGTGTCTACAGGAAGAAAAAACATTATGCGCGATGAAATCTGTACGTGCAGATGGGGAAACTAAGAAGGCACTCGCGGAGTACTCGGATGGTACTCAGAGGATACTCGAGGATTCTCCCCTAATCTGTATAAAAAACATAATTTTTTATTTTATAGGGTCGTGTTGCATGACGCTAATATTTATTAGGGTTCTCCCCTAATATTTATACTCAATGACATCCTTCAACACGGCGAAAAGTTGACTTAAAGATTCGTCCAAAATAAAGCCAACATCTAACATAATTTTTTATTCAACAGCAATGAATATAAAATGGGTTGAAACTCATAAATATTTGTTTTGCTGATAGACAGTTACATTCCACAAATTAGAATATCATCTCAGCCACTAGGCCACTAGATAGAATATCATCTCAACTACTAGAGATTATAAAACTCAATAGTACAGTACTTGATTGGCTTCTGTTGAAGGATGTCGTTGGCTATAAAATCTTCACTATAATAATAAATTGGGGCATTTACATACACACCCCCATTTTTTATGTATTTAGATATCTAAGACCTAAACTCTTATTATTATATTTTTACCACCAAACCTTTCTTATCACATCAAACTAGCCATCATTTTAACTTTTATCTTTTCATGCATTTGAAAGGTGGCCGTATACGTAGAAATTGAAATTTATGTGTTGGATATGTAATACATAAGAATAGAGTGATATGCATGTAAATCTTCCTAAATCATAGAGGAAATTTCTCTTTTGGAAGGATTGAGAAGCATACCACATAATGAGTTCTAGCTTCAAATCTTCCAAGGATCTGTAAGTCCGGTGGAGAGAAAATTATAGGGTCGTGTTGTATGACGCTCGATGAAGGAAACCATTTCTGAGTGTTCCACCAATACGCAAGCCAAGGAGCGTAATGAGCCACTCGGAGCGCCAATTTGTCTCGCAAGGCCTGTTGATTGTAAGCTTTCGTGGATAAATTGAGGGGAAATCCAGACCACCAGTAGTTAGAAACTGGAGCAACAACAGCCGCTCCTGCAAGCCTGACACAAGTAAAAAAAAGGAAGATTTACATACATACCTCTCAATATCATATGTATTTAAACATATCGAACACCTAAATTTTAATTTTTACATACACACCATACCACCTTATGTATGCAACCACAGATATGCAAAAGGTGTATTTTACTTTTTTAAAGTTGAAATGATATTTTTGATGTGATGTGAAATATACGAGTGATATAAATATAAAAAAGCAAAGCTTAGATGTTGGATATGTGAATACATAAGACTTTTACTGACCTTTAAAAAAGCGAAATATATCTTTTCATGCCCATGTCTTAATCAATTTTTTTACTATTAGATATGTAATAATACAAAGGAATTGTGTGGTATATATGCAAATTTTCATTTAAATCCTTATGAGTAAGTTTAGAGTTGTCATTGAAAAGTCATTCATTCAAAAACGAGGAGTAAAAGGCAAAGTCAACTAGTCCTAGTTTTCATGCTCAGCAGTGGCATTTCAGCAATCTAGAAAATCTTGTCAACGCGTTGAACAATTCAAGTTATGCATGCCTCCCCTCTGCTGGCCTGCAAATATTTGTATTGCATATTTGCTGTTGATTGCATGAGATATGTAATAAAATAAAAGTAGAGAGCCAACTGACTATACTAGGTTTGTGCAATCGATTAATTATTTAGTCAAATCTAATGAAAGTAAAATTTAAAATAAAAAATTTATGAAAACCGAACTGATCAAGCTTTTGCTAAAACGATCCAAACCGAACCAAAATATAGTTCAATTTAATCAATTTGTTTTGGAGCAAACTGAAATTTAGTATTTGGCCTAAAATAATTAAAATTTAAGAGCTTTTACATACAGCACAAAAAACTTTCTTAATTACTTATTTCACATCAAAATTTTCATAATTACAAACAGCATATGAAAAGTAGCACTCATCATCATCTTTTCATAGTCAAATCTATCTTTACATCCATAGGTAAAGTACTCTGTAAAAATGAAACTTTGGATGTAAGATAGGTAAATCCATAATATGTAATTTTCACTAAAACTTATGTTTCTATTTCAAAATTTAAGACTTCATTTATCTTTCTTATCTCATCACCATCTCTTTAAAATTAAAAAAAATTCAAATTAAACTAAAATAAACATGTCGTATGCTCAATTTCTTTTCTTCCAAATGAAATTAATTTCCCAATCTGAATATTATTTGGTTTATTTTTTTTGTTTCGTTGCTTCAATGAATCTAAAACATGACCGGAAACTAAATATTAAAAATTTTAAAAGTAAAACCAAGTTATTTTAAAACTGAACTGAATCAACCTAATGAGCCTGATTGGATTAGATTTTTCGGTTTTGATCAAATAATGCACCTCTAATGTATGTGCAGATTTGATTGTATTGTGGTTATATTTACTGTAATACTACCAATCAAGATGTATATTATCCGCATATAATCTTCTGCCTAATCATACCTGTGAGGAATGTATTTCAGACATGTCCAAGCAATTTCCCCTCCAATAGAGAACCCCATAACATGGAACTGAGAGCCAAGCCCAATCTGATCGGCAAGTTCTTCAATATCAAGCGCTGTACTTTTAACCGTCTTCTTTGGATCAGGATCACTTTCCCCGTATCCAGCTCTGTCAAAAGAAAGTAAATAGATCCCTAATTCCTCCATAAGTTCCTGAGACACAGGAAACACATCATATCTGCAAGAATCAAAGCCATGGATGAAGACAATCTTAAATTCCGCCTTCTCCTTCGGAATCCCTAATTCCAGGTACGCTAAATGCCTGCCATCCCTGAGCTTAATTCTGGGAGATGTAACAGGAGGACCGTTTGATGATCCACAAATCTTAGGAGGTGGAGGTTGGATTGCTTGGTAAAGCAATGCGACTAAACCCAGCAAGAGAATCCCTGGGAGCTTTGAAAACACACCTGAAATTCAACTTCTACGTATTTAATGTCCAAATAAAGCTGATTTAATCAACTTAGAGCACCAAAAAAAAAAAAAAACTCCTTTTTCTCATTTTTATCTATTTTAGATTTTATCTATTTTAGAAGAAACTGAAGGACAGAAAGTGAGCGAAAGAGTTAAGAGTGGTAGAAGGTGAAAACAGACAACAAACAGGATTTAGTTAGTATTCAATATAGAATTCTAACAATTTAATATCCAAATAAAGCTGATTTAATCATATTAGAGCACAAGAAAAAACTCAACTTTTTCTATTTTAGAGGAAACTGAAGAACCAAAAGTGAGCAAAAGAGTTGAGAGTGGTAGATGCTGAAAACAGACAACAAAACAAGATATAGTATTCAATATAGACTTCTGGCCATTTAATGTCTAAATAAAGCTGATTAAATCAAATTAGAGCACCAAAAAAACTCAACTTTGTCTATTTTAGAAGAAACTGAAGAACAGAAAGTGAGCAAAAGAGTTGAGAGTGGAAGAAGGACATGAAGTGAGCAAAAGAGTTAAAGAGTGGTAGAAGCTGAAAACAGAAAACAAACAGGATTTAGTATTCAATATAGACTTCTAACCATTTAATGTCGAAATAAAGCTGATTTTATCAAATTAGAGCACAAAAAAAAACTCAACTTTATCTATTTTAGAAGAAACTGAAGAACAGAAAGTGAGCAAAGGAGTTAAGAGGAGTGGTAGAAGGTGAAAACAGACAGCAAACAGGATTTGGTTATTCATTTGAATGGATTTCGAGGAGGGATAGAGATTTTCACCCGAGGAAGATGATGCTGCCGAGATTTTTCTATTGGAGGCTGCCATTGTTCTCGGGCGTTGTGCTTGTCGTTCATACATTCAAGAAAGATTCATTATATAATAGAAGGGAAGATTGAAAAACAGAAAATATTATTCATTCTAGAAGAAATAAGGAAAGTATCAAGAAAGTCTTTTGGGATTCAACTCAAAATGTAAGGATTTAGTCATTACCAATGGCAACTTTAGAAAGCCTCCACAAAAGAATGGGCTGTAAGAGGACGGCTTTGATTGTAAAGGACAAAAAATAACAGCTAGCTCGTTCCACCTAACACCACGTCCTGATATATGCAGATGCTTGGGGGAAAATGTCATAAGAAAATTTTGACATAAAAATATATTATAAACAATAAGATGTTGATTCAAATAATATGTTAATTTTCTTAAAAATTACAAGATAATTAAATTTTGTCTCATTAAGGATTATAATTTTGACTTTTATCTTACAAAAGAAAGATGTGTTAAGGTTTTGATAAAAATATTATATTTTCTTAAAAAAATAATACCTAATAATTCATAAAAAAAATTTGACATAAGAGGTGTTGATTCAAATAATATGTTAATTTCTTTAAAAACTACAAGATAATTAATTTTTTTCTTATTAAAGATTATAATTTTGACTTTTATCTTATAATAGAAGATAAGTCAAGGTTTTAATAAAAATATTATATTTTCTTAAAAAAAAATACCTATAATTCATAAGAAAATTTTGAGAAAAGAATATATTATAAATAATAAGATGTTGATTCAAATAATATGTTAATTTATTTAAAAACAACAAGATAATTAAATTTTATCTTATGAAAGATTATAATTTGGCATTTTTCTTATATAAGAAAAAGATACGTTAAGACTTTAATAAAAATATTATATTTTCTTACAAAATAATACATGAATTTAGGGTATAATAAGTTGATGATCATGTTTATGTCAATCATGCAAATATACGTGCAATCAAATAATATTGGCATATTTGAGTCAGAGTTATTGATCTCATAATGAATGTGTTATTTCTTAAATTAGCTTAATTACAACTCTGCTAATCCTTAGTTCAAATCAAAAGCTTTTGATTTTTGAAAAGGATTTCTAAAAATCCTAAATTTTAAATTGAAAACTAAAGGTAACTGTTTTACTAATGATATAAACTCATCTTTGACTCGTTTATGCAAATTCTATGTTCCCACACTAGATTCTTGCTAAATTAATTAACAATCAAGGACCAATTACTTCTTAATTTATTATGATACATAACAAACATTGGAATCTCATATTTTGGCCAAGTTCCCTTAATCCTATAAAAATTCTTAGGATTCTTTATTATCCTAAATGATTGCAAACATTTAATCGTGAAATTCCTATTATCCTAAGTGTTTGTGTTTTAACCTATTTTTATTTCTTTCTATTCTTCTTCCGATTCTTCCGATAGTCCTAAATTACAACACGTGTTAACAAATCAATTGATCGGTTTGAAGTGTAAATGGTGAATGAAATGTTAGAACAACAACTTCTAAGTATAAAATGCTCAATAGTCTAATATGGATTTACTAAACACTTTTAAACCAATTCAAAGAAGAAAATGTTTAATTCCTACTCATGTGTAAAAGAGAACATGGACTCCATTAAAATTAAAGCAAAGTTTATAGATAATGGGACATAGGTCCTAAAAAACCCAAAATACTTTCATTCATGAATGTTGGGCAAAGAGTGAATCATCATAATATGATAGATAGCTCACTCGTTGACAAAAGATTCTTCGGGTTGTTCGTGGAGTATGTCATGGTAAAAACTTCGACCTCTTGATGAAGAGTCTCAAAGGCTCTTATGAGGCGACTGACAATGTTGGGGCAAGAGTTAGGCTAATGCCTTCTTTTATTTTAATAAATTTTGGTATTTGGCTTGGACAGCCTCCGTTCGGTTGGCTTCAAGTTTCTGACCCGAATGATTTGTACTGGATCGTTCAAGTCATTTGATCTTCCAGTGATGAGACTTTTGGTCTTCTATGGGTCATTCCTGGTAGTACTTTCATTTCTCTTAGTTCATTGGATCTCCTCGAGATTTATGTTGACGCAATTCTAATGTACAATTAGATAGATTAATTTTATTTTTTAACCGGATTTTTTGTAATGTTAATCACATTATTTATTTAGATCTAGGGTTTAAGCTTCATATAAGTGCAATCACATTAGTCAACTATCTCTCCTACTTGTAAGGGAGCACTTTGTATTAAAAATTTTTACTTAAGTATTATTTTAAATTTACACTTAATACTTTGAGTTTAAATTGAATTAATGGTGACACTTTGGGAGGATGAAAATATACTCAACTAAGATTTCATAGTTTCAACATCCAAAAGATGTCAATAATTTTATTCTGCCAACATTAAAGTGCCAAAGACTATAAATTTAAGAGAATTTGATTGGCAATCTTAACAATCTCCTCCCAAAATCTCGCAAGTTTACCAAGGTGAATATAAGGAAATATTAGTTGGTTTTTTCTTTTATTTTTCTAGATTTTGGTTGCTTTAATGAACTTTGTTTGCATGGGAGCTGCTCAAAGATTTGAGTTAGAACTTAAATCCATTGGAAGACCCAAATTTAAGATGGGGATTATATAAATTAGAAAGCCCAAATTTAATTAGAATGGGGCTCATGAATCTTTTTGTGAGTTGTTTGAGATTTTAACGAGCTTCATGACTTTGGATCAACCCCAACTTAATTGAGGTGGGGCTTACAACTGTTGTTGGATATACACCACCAGTTGATGTGGTATTGATTTGGTGTGTGTGTGTATATATATATATATATATATATAGCGAAATAGAACGAGAAAAATCATACCAGAAAAGAACACACAAATTTATATGGTTCGGCAATTTGCCTACGTCCACGAAGTTGCAGAGATGTCAATAATTTTGCATGGGAGCCGCTAAAAAATTTGAGTTAGAACTTAAATCCATTGGAAGACCCAAATTTAAGATGGGGATTATATAAATTAGAAAGCCCAAATTTAATTAGAATGGGGCTCATGAAGCTTTTTGTGAGTTGTTTGAGATTTTAACGGGCTTCACGACTTTGGATCAACCCCAACTTAATTGAGGTGGGGCTTACAACTGTTGTTGGATATACACCACCAGTTGATGTGGTATATATATATATATATATATATCAAACAGAAGAACGATCGACGAAGCGAAATAGAACGAGAAAAATCATACCAGAAAAGAACACACAAATTTATATGGTTCGGCAATTTGCCTACGTCCACGAAGTTGCAGAGATGTCAATAATTTTGCATGGGAGCCTAGAACGAGAAAAATCACACCAGAAAAGAGCACACAGATTTACGTGGTTCGGCAAATTGCCTACATCCACGGAGTTGCAGAGGATTTTACTAATTGAGGAATTTACAATTTACACCGGTCGATCATCTCGACTTACAAGTGGAATCTCTCACTCTCAATTCGTTGTTCTCTATCTTCTTCTCTCTCTGTTATTCTCTCTCTACACCGAGATACACCGAAGAAGACAAACTTACAAGAAAAATAAACCCAATTTCTTTTTTGCCACAAGTCACAAAGAAGAAGTCTAAGGAGAACAATATTCTTATTCTTCTTTCTTCTTCTTTCTGCCACAAGGAACTACCGCTTGCACTTTTGTTCCTATGCCTCGAGGAAACCTTCCTCTATTCAGAGAAAACTAAAGAAGAAATCAAACTGTGACTTCTAAACCTAAGGAGAGCCATCTGAAGATTTTATCACGAACAGGAAGGAACTTTCGCGATAGACGTGATTCTTTGCTAAATAACGAATTGTTCGTGGGAACAATTCGCGAACAAGGGAGGCGGGAGACGCAATCGGGCATTTGCGATATTTCGCGAAATAGACGAGGCAGGAACAGTTTGACACCAGGCAGGAGATGCGTCTATTGCGAGCGGGAAGCGGGAGCCGGAGATCGTTGGCGCCGATTCGCAAAACAGGGAGGCGGGAGCGAGCGGAAGAACGCCAATTTGCGATTGAGAAAAGGGATCGAGCTCCAACTTAACAATCTCCTACTGGGTGACCGATACACCTGCTACAACATCTCTTTCCTCAAACTGATCTCCTCCACTGCAACATCGTCCTTTTTTTAAACATGTATCATCCACCATGAATCCTCCAACTTGAATCCTCAACTTCTGCAACTCAAAGCCTCTGTCTTCACTCCAGAAGATCAACTGAAGCTGTGAAAAACTTCAGTTTCTCAAGAGTAACACCCTCAGTCAATATATCAGTAGACTTCACATAGCTTTGTACCTTCAAGCTATTTCCTGGGTCACTATTGTCTCTTCTTACAACTTTCACTGCATGGGCAACATCCTGCCTCTGTTGAGAGCCTTTTTTAACAAATTTAGCCTCGTACCTCTTACTGTCATCACGCTCAGTCTTCCCCTGGTACACCCATTTGTTGTGCAATACATTTTTCTCTCGTGAAAGTTATGCCAACTCCCACTTGCTCGAACTTTCATCTTGCATGATTTCTTCATAGCTCTGTGGTTCTTTAACATCTGTCTATGGAACAATAAGAAAGGGTGTCCCGGACCCACTTTCCTCTTCACTTCCAGCACTGCAACCCTACAATGTTGTCTCTGTTAGATTTCCTACCACATTCAAAGCCCCTGAATCAAATATTAAGTCTTCAACAGAACTATGAACTGTCAACAGTAGTGCATCCTGTGATTTTTCAGATACCACATTTGCGCTATCATTTTCCATCTTCTTAGGATTACTGCATTTTCTTCTATGTGGTCAGCCTTGCCACAATTATAACAAGTTGCATGCTTACTAAACTTTGATTTTGATCTCCCTATCATTGAGTTCCTGTCATGTCATCTTCCTCTGAAATCAACATTCAGTGATGTCATGTCATCTTCTTCTGAAATCAACATCCAGTGCCGAACTCGAATCTGAGACCTCGTCATAATCTTTTCTGCAAACTTTCTCAGTCAAAATCAAATCACAAATATCATCGTATTTCAGTTTATATTTACCTGCAAAATTGCTAACTGCTATTCTCATGACTTCTCAACTGTCTCACAATGAAGCCAACAAGATCAGTGCACATATCTCATCATCAAAATCAATTTCCATGGATAACAATTAATTTGT